AAAGATAGCGAAATCTAGTTGCAAAGGATTAACTATTAACTGAGAAAATTAAGCTGGCAACTGCATAGATGTATTTATTTGCATCGCTTACCATTTTCATAATTAAAGCTTAAACAAGACATGAAACTGATTAATGAATCATTGGCATTTCGCTATGTGTACTTATCAACATAACTAATCAAATATATTGTCAAACTAACCGAATACCCATAGAAAACTAATTAGATTAAACAGCTCGTCAATTTATGCTCCATTGTTGCTGTAATAGCATCGTCTTAGCATTTGATGACCAACTTCCCCAAAATGGACATTGGATGCGGCTCCAGCGCAACCTGCCAATACCAATCGAAGTGAATCAATTGCGGCATTGTCATGTCGTCGAACGTTTCTTGAGGGAGGAGTGTACCGCCTATAGGTACGATAATGGCCTGCCATTGCTGATTCTAATCGTAACGAATTCACTTGACTGATGCACATCTATATGTATTTATATATATATATGATTCCACTTCATTGAGGAGTTACATGTTGATGAACTCCTAACATATGTAGAAATTGTTGTGGGCTGTCATTTTGGTTGTCGTTTGATGTTGTCGCTATTTCTCTTTATTGTGCGCTGTTGTCCAGCAAAAGTTTAATTTTACTCAATAAATATAAATAACACAGTCGTATTAAACGTAGTAGTTCAGACTTATTATTAGTTTATTGTGCAGACATATAACCCAGTAGGTTTTAAACCACACAGGGACAAAGTATTTACGTAGCAAATGGACGATTTTATGTTGTCCTTTCTGCTGCATACCATTGACTGTTCGTGACAGGCTCTCAACAGGACAAACACAAAAGCCGCAAAAACTTGGCACCCATTAAATTGCATTTTATACAGAGACGCCTGTCGGACCGGGTAACGGGTATTGAATTAAATATCTGTCTATGCGACAGGCCAACTCCCTTTTCCCCCGTCTCTTCAATGATGCTTGGCTTTTGGTTACTTTGCACCAATTAAATAGGAATTGAAATAAAGAGTGAAATGGGAACTACTATGCCAATATACAATGCTGTCTATCAGTTGCGACCAACTGACAGTTGTTGGACATGTGCCCAGCGTTCATTGACATTGACTGCCAATGGGTCAACATTTAGTCAATTGGCCATTGTCTCAAGCATCGTGTAATTACCTATTTAAGAGTCTTGTTTAAGCAAAGCACATTAATGCGGTTAAATGGCAATGCCTGCAATTGAATCGAATCAAGGCTGAGCCGTTTATTACTTTTCTTGGCTTACGATGGCTTACTATATTTTACTATAATAATATAAATTTGTAAAATGGTTCACTTATTGCAAGGATTATGGGAGCCCATTAAAACCCCAATCAATTAATATGTACAAATTCATATCTTTTACTTAGTTTTCCAATACATTTTCGTCCTTGTCTTCTTAATCTACAGGAAATACCGGAAATATTCTTCCTTTATTACACATACGCAACGTGAAACGAGCAAGGATTAAAAAGACGGACCTTAGACTTCGACTGAAATGTAGCAACAATTCCAGTACATCATTGTATAAGCATTTTGGGTTGGTAACCCTTTTAGAAAATAAAATGCCTCGAATTCTGTTACAAACTATGCCAACTACGTAAAATGGAAAAATGTTATTACAGTTGCAGAACTTTAGTTATTGTGGCTATTTGCTAAGTTTACAATGTGGTTCATCTTACACTGTTCCTCGTACATAAGAGAGCCATTTAATTTTCACAGTGTATAGTCCAGCTCAGCTTTTTATGACACAAGTCCTTCTTGTCAATCCATAAATTATTCAATTCTCAATTGAGAAACTTTTCATTTTACTTAATTTGAAATAATAATAATATTTGTCGTACATCAGACACCCATTGCTAAACATCCTTTACTACAGCTGCGGCCCAATTAATTTTCAAATGCAATTTCGAAATCATTTTTGAGTTCTACGTTAAATTCCTAAATCGAGTTTTATGACCTCATTTTGCAAAGCAAGCTGACAACAGTTAGTTGCACACCAGATTGTCGCCGATCGGCCTTCAACTGTGTATTAATATAAGGGTATTCAATCTTCGTTGGCAGAAATGTAGATAATCTCGCATTTGTTGTTGTTGCCACTTAGAGCTGGTTGGTGTTGCCTATTTTCGTTGTTGCCGTTGCTGTTGTTGAGCTGTGGAGCATGCTGTACGCAAAAGATAGCAGACGAGGTCGTCTCCTCCAATTCGGTGGATGGCTGATTTGCTGGTTGAAAAGGATTGGCGAGGGGAGGATGGCATTGTCGGGGACCAAAAACAATAACGCAATATTACATGAGGCTGGACAGGCATTGTCATCTTTTGATGGTTCCCCAGCTGAGGCTGCTGCTTTGTATATGTGTGTGTGTGTGTGTGTGTGTTTAGTGAGATTTGGCTTAATTAAATTCCTGAATAAAAGGATTCCTTTGGTGCTTTAAGCGGAACGTGTGTGTGTGTGTGCGAGCGCCTTTTTACGACTTTTGACAAAAGTCTTAACGGCTTATTGTGGTGACACACACACACACACACACACACACACATAGACAACTACACTAGCGCAAACTCACCATGGGACAGAGTCGTTTAATGACTCGCATAGATTTTAATTACAACTATAAATCATAGAGAAGCGGAGCGCTAAACCCTTCGACTCGTATTACTGACAAAAACACTCTTACACACACACACACGCCCACACACACACACTTATAGTATATAGATGTAGAAATGGTTATGCAATCTGCCGACACTTTTGAAACTGGAAGCCACTAGAGCAGCAACTTACGTAAAATGCTCATTTTCGATGCTGATTATTTTACATTGTTGGCTGTTGCCGCTGGCCAATGCTGGCCAGGATACGTTCGTTGTTTGGCCATTGTTCTTTGGTCTACAGGTTCATAATCAGTTGGCCCAAATTTACAGCCAGCTGGTACATAAAAGTTGTTCGTTAAAAAGTTAATAGTTTGCTACAGTTAGTCCATAGTCCACTGCCAGTTGGCAAGCTGCCGAGCCCGTCAGCGGTTTGTACCACCAAGCCAAAAGTCAATCCAAGCCCCACCATCCCATACCCCTTCTGCGAAAGCCACCGATTTGAGGTCAGGATAATGGTGCTGGCACGCTTTATGGCTCCGACTTTATGCATTTATGCTTTATGCTTTTGGTTGTGTTGTGGGCAACCTATGATAATTGCCACGAGGCACAAAGTGATCTCTGGGAGAGTTGATTGGATGGAGACAAAAGCTAATTGGCCGAGAGAGAGACATCCAAAATAAGTTTAACGAACATTGACTATTCTAAATTCAAAAGTAGTTCAAAACAAAAAAGAACAGATTTCTTCATCAAGGCGAAGATGACAATCCACCCACACCTCAATTGTGTTATAATTTGAGCAAACAATCGGTGAAGTTGTCCCTATGAGAGCTAAATGTTTATCCGTTGAAAAACTCGTTTGGTCGTCTTATCTTGAAAAACAAAGTAGTCTTTCAGACAAAAACACAACTTTTGCACATCTTTAATGACTGACGTAGGAAAACGAATATATTCATTTATACCCTATTTAAGTCTTGGTAGAGATTGGTAGAGATTAATTGTGTTTGCGCTTCAATTTCTTCTAAAAAAATAATAATAACAAAAAAATACTTAAAGGCAAGTTTATTTTGTTTTTCAGCTCTGCACAAAATATATGCACTAAATATTTGTGTAGCCAACTTCATTATTTAAATGACTTTCTTCTTTTTTACCTGTATTTGGGAGATGCTGGTATATTGTAGAAGATATATTTCAATGTGCGCCATCTTCTCCACATTTGTCTTACTTTCAAACTTTTCATTATTCATTCAAACTTTTAATTATCAGTTGTGTACACGCAATTCGCAACTCATAAAATTCTTTACCAAGTTTTTGTGAAGCGAAATGGCTGCGATAGAAGCACGAACAACTTCCCTTGACTGTGATATCATAAATGATGCTGAGATCTGAGTTGTTTCTCTGTTCGACACTTAGTCAGTTAGTTAGTTGGGCAGTTAGTTCTTTAGTTTGTAATGGGTCTGCATTAGAGTCGCACACTTCAATGCACAATTTCGCATTAAGTGGATGTCAAATCTCAACCAGACTGGCTCGTGTGGCACATAAATTTGTTGTCCTTTGTTGCTATTGTTGTTGCTGTTGCTGTTGTTATTGTGATTTAAACATTTGCCACTTGTTTGTTAAGTATTTGAAAATCGAAAAGCAGTGCTCGCCAGCAACGACAACAACAATAGCAGCAAAGGTCATAGCGTTCATTGTCCACTGCTGCTCGATGTTTGTTATTGTTGTTGTCGATGTTGTTGTTCTTTGTTGTTGCTGTTGCTTTTGTTGTCGCCCTCAATCTAAAAATGAACGCCCACAGCTTTCGCTGCCGTTGAAAGACAAGCCAAGTGGCATTCAAAATGCCAATCAAGATACGAGCTCACAATTTACGATTGGCCAGCAACGAGCAACAGTAACAACAATATCAACTCCAACAACAGCAACAACAGCAACAACAACAAGAACAGCAACAACAATAACAACAACATTTACATTGACTTTAAAGTGTGAGTGCAACGGCTGATTGTTAATTTTGTTGCTTTTCTTGTGATTTCATTCACTTTATATGCCAAGTGATTTTTTTTTTTCGTCCTTTATTTCTGCCATATTTTATTTAACTGAATTTCTGAAAATATACTTGGAGATAACCCTCAAGTGCACTCGAATCGATATTGACGTACTCGCAAGTGGCAGCATAATGAATATTACAACCAATGGAAGGAAATTTTACATTACAAGTTGGAAAGGTCCTGGGAAGGTTCTGCGTGGACAGCATTTAAGGCGCTGTTGAAGCTTCAACAACTCACAAATAGACTGCATCTTACGTCTCAAGATCTCGATCAAATTTATATCAAAACTTTCGTTTTTTATTTGTATTAAATAATTGACAGTTACTTACTCGTCTCGAGTGCTCGTGTTCAGTTCTCCATGTTCCTTCAGCGATTTTTCACATGCAATGAAAACTGAAAATACGGAGACTTATTAATATTTCTTCATAGATAGAATATTGATTTATATATGTTGAGGAAGGGCTGCAGACTGCTGTCAGCCCTCACGCATATGCCCGTTAGGCTGACTGACAGCGTGCCAGTTGATAAGGAATGCCATTTGTTCAAATTAAAGTGTATGTATATATATATATATATATGTAAGCACATATATTACAAGTATGGACAAGTGCTGCCTACCCTTTTTGGTCAGCACCCAGGCTAAATATTTAATTTTCTTCGTTTTTTTTTTTCATAATTTTGTCACTTGCCACCGCTGGCTGGCAAAGCCTGCTAACTCGCACTCATCAACAGCTCGAACGGTTGACAATGAGTAATGTGCAAAGTACTTTGAGTGACAACCCAGCCTGCATCAGTTAGTGGGCAGGGTTGCCTGACCGAATTTTAATTTGCTTTTGGGTTACATGCCGTCTAAAATGTTGAGCTCAAATAAATTGCACAAGCCGTTGCTCAGTTTCGGTTACAGCTCACTCCGCGCCTCATTTAATTTTCCGTTAGGTCAACAGAAGGGGCTGTTGCTGCTGCTAATTGCCATACAAACTCTTGACCCCAACCAAAAAAAGACACACAAGTATGCGCGACCCTTTGCAAATGAGGGTCAATGCGAGCACATTTCAGCTAAAATGCAAAACCAAAACCAAAACTAAACAGCATTGAAGCTCTGAACTGTGATCCTGCCAATGTTTAATATAAACAAAACACAATGCACTCCATCGCCTCTTGGTTGTAGAAGCTGCAGATCAGCCTGTTTGCTTATCAATCTGCATCAACCACATTTCGGCTAGGCTTCAAATTAGTTACTTAGTCTCTGTGCACCTCAACACACAAGTATTTTAGCTGTATTTTGTATTTGCTTCCCCCGCCATTTATTCGAGAGATTTCAATTCATTTTAGCCTAGACTTTACTTATGTCTGTATGCCGTTAACAGTTCAAACGGAAAGGAGCCCGCTGCGCTTTAACCAAGCAGAATAAATAGAAATCGCCAACTAATTTATTATTTCTTATCAAGAGCACAGACATGCTTCAATACAAAGTTAAGACTTCAGGGTATTAGTTAGTAGCCTATTTAGCACTCTGTATACGTGTGTCTTTATGCTCTGATACCTAAGCTAGTGGAGTATATTGGCATACTGCTGTCTGTCGTTCCGTTCGACTTAAAACTCATAAGAAACGGCATATAAACCTATTGCTAGATTCACAAAAGTTAAAATGTAGACGGGTGACCTTTTTCCATTACAAAATTCCATTATGAAAAGGTTCTTAGCAGCTGAAATCAGAGTATTCTGCAGTCAGTCACGTTCGAGTGCAACATTCTCACTTCTTCTATATTATTTTTATATATTTTTTAATTAGCAAATTGATGTAGCTTTTGTGCTCTAGAAAAAACTGCTGCACAGACAATAACACAAATACAAATATATATATATATACATATATATATATATATATAGATAGATAGAAATGTTAGCTGACTGCAGACGGAGAGTAAACACTTAAAGAACAAAACCAATAAATGCGAACAAAGTCTTTGTCCTGATTGTCGTCGGTGAAGTGAAATAATTGGGACTGATTGCTTTAAATCTCAAGCTGAGCCTTATTGCAATTATTAATTACAATGCCATACAAAAGATGTTAATTATTAAAGGTGTTGCATAAGCAAAAGGATAAAGTCCATAGAGAATAAATATCGAGGTTGTCCTATTATCCTTGCGAATACTTTCAACTTTGAAATAAAAGTAATTGCACTCTAAACTCGACCGCATAATATTGAAGCTGCCAGCTACTAGACAACCAAACAGGCTGTCACAGATTCACAGACACCGTGGATTATACAAGTTACTGGCTGGGTTGACAACAAACCCAGTTGTCCGGACTGACTGACCAGTCGGCAGTTGAAATCTGTGTGCGCCGGAGATTAACATGCAGACGCTGCGATTTGATGGGACAGTTTGACAAACAGACGAACGCCTGACGATGCTGACATGTAAACAATTTGAACGAAAGGATATTAGGTGCCAGCTTGCACACACACACGCACACACACAAGCACACAAACTCAATCGAAGAGGGACAGGGACAGGGCCATTCTGAACTTGCAACTAATGACCTGCTCGTATCAGCAACATTTGACCAAACGTTGCCTGGCATTTCAAATGTGTTAATAATACAATTTTATTTATCTGTCTATGTGACACACGCCTCATCACACAGCCACCCAAACACACACACACACACACACACACACACACACGCACACAGTGTCTATGTAAATTGCGGCAAAAACGAGCCGAAAATTTACGATGCTCGTTGCGACTACTGTAAATGGAGATTGGAGGTGGAGTACACATTTGGTTGGCGTGTCTGACTATTTTTGAAAAGGGTTGACATTTAAGGCGCACACACACGCCCAGCACTGCCAATCACCCTGCCCGTGACCAGGACGGGGGGTCACTGTTGTAACAAAATGACAAAACGGTGCCTAAACGAGCGTTCAACGAGCAGCAAAAAATTACCAACAAAAGAAATACACACATATAAATATATATATAAAAAAAAATATATATATATATACAACACTGGCAAATAAAAATATAACAAAAATGTTATAAGTAGTTTACTGGCAGAGAAGAGTTGGTCAATGGCACACACACACACATACACACACACACATACACTCACTCATGCGTCTGCATATGCATGACCAGAGCATAGAAAATTGGGTACTGAAACGCCTTTTGAGCCCTTTTTGAAAAGCGAAATCATTGCACAGTGAACTGAATGGTGTTGAATGTGCTATCAATAAGAATTGATTTGTTTACAGCAATAAATCAAATGAACTTTCCATAACAAAACATGCAATTTGATGTGCTCCATCTGAAGGCAGGTGACGAGATCAAACATATAAATAACTTAACTGGTTTATCGTTTTGTTAAAGTCAACTGCAACTCAGACCACTGTGCTGTGTTGGTGCTCCTGTGTGTAACAAAAGGATGCAGAGTATGTTGTACATTCATTACACACACAAACACACTCGCACACACACACTCGCACACACGCACACCCACCCCAAAAAGGTAAATCGCAGCGTCAGCCTTTTGTTAAATATCTCAATTGGATGCAAAGGCGGCACACGGGGCGTATGCTCAATGTTTTATGCACAAGGAACAAAAATCCCGAATAAATAAAGACATAAAAAAATAAAGCACAGCAACAACTGTTACCTTATTTATTCATATTAAGCGACAAGTGCCCAAATGCAAGTGTAATTTCTAAATACACAACTCCCATCCAGACCTGAAATCCTAAATATATATATTTTTTCTCCTTGCAGTGGGTATAATAATTGTGTCGTAACGCTTGTAACACATTTAAGGAGGCATTAGGATAGATATATATATATATATATTTATATATATATGTTCTTGTTCAGCTTCACAAAGACAATCGACATGACCCTGACCCTCTACCCTTCTATATTTATTATATATTCTAGTCTTAATTATTCTAGTTTATTTTTGCACACCCAAATGTAAGCAGGTGATAATCGGCACATATACTGAAGACTAAAAACTACACACTTATTCATAAGACCGAACTAATATCACCGGTTTTGGACAAATGCCTGCATAGGTATATGTGACCATATATATTGGATGACTGGAGAATACACACAAAAATCGGTAATCAGTTATCGATAAAATGAATAAAACAAATGCCAAACTTGAACTCTCTGATTTCTATAGTCTCTGAGATCCGTATATCCTGGGGAAGAATGCATACACTTTATAGGGTCGGAGATGCTTCCTGCATTTGCACAAAACCATTCTACCCCTTTTACCCAATTTTATTCGGTTCAGGGTATTAAAAGAAAAACTTCGAGTGAGGCATATGAAATGTATACGCTTCTTCAATACATTTTTTTTGGTAGATGCCATAAAAATAATCAATGTATTCAGTTTTGATTGTGCCCGAAAGAGTTTTGGTCACGAAAGCATTAATATTCAATGAAAGGGATGGATGCCACTTGGCTGCTTAATGTGTGGCATGTTGTATGGGGGTGTTCGGGGGCTTGGCAAATGTGTCAGGCCAAATTACACGACAACATATTTTTGAATATAGCAATTTGTATCTGTGCGCCGGCAACTTCTCCGTCTCCGTCTCCATCTCCGTCTCCGTCATCGTCTGTGCGTCATTCGTTTATTTCGCAATAATAACAATGGGCTCGCGTTTGTTTCTTTGCCACTTGATAAATGAGATGCCAACCAGGCAGCAGTCTGGGGGCTGCGGACAGTAAGTAGTCTTTAGAATCGAGATTCCAATGCTGTTCACGACCCCGTAACTCACCCCATGCCCGCGGCCTATGCCCTCTGGCCCTAGGCCTCTCTCCCAAAAGTGTTAGTTTTCGTAGTATTTGTATTGCTTCCACTTGCATTATTTGCTCTCGCTATTTTCGACAATGGTCCTGCCGTTGATTAAGTTGTTGGGCGTGGCCCAGTTAGCATCTGCTTCTCTAATGGGCGGGTCGCACTAACTCAGCGAAAATGGAAAATATCCTTAAGCAAAAAGAAAGCATGAGATTCTGGCTTAAAAGATTTCTATATTTAAGAATATTAATCGCTCATTTACATTATATACATTAATCGGTTGCTTGTCATATTCTGTTAAGTGAAAATACATCAATTTTGAAGGATGGTTGTTAATGCGGTTGATTAAATTAGTTGTCACTGTCGAGTGAAATTTTGCAAAAAGTGCAAATTCCACAATAATAATAATATATCAAAATAAGTTGCAGTTACAAATAAAAATAATTTTCGTGGAGCATAAAGTGTTGAGAGCCAAAAAATAAATTGTTGACAATTTTTCAAGAGAAACAAATAATAAATGCTTTAAAGCAGAGAGATTTCGTCTCCGTTCACCTTCACTTAGATAGTTCAAAGCGAATTCTCAACACCA